TATGTATAAATATAACGAGAGAGTTCTGGGGTAGAGACTGATTTGGATGTCAGTAATGGCAAATACACATGGATATGATTGTGTAGGGAGAAGAGAGAAAGGGTAGGGAGGAGAACCACAGATGGAATTCCAAGGAACAGCAGCACTTCAGATTAGAGTGAGGAAGAGAAATTCCCAAAGTCTAAGACACAATATTTTGGAAAGAGGGATTAACCAATAGTGATAACTGCCTTAAAGTAGTAAGGCATTTGGCAGATTTTTAAGGTGGTTCTAGAATAAAAATGGTTCAGTGAAGGTTCTAACCAGGCTTAGGAAATTAGATTACAGAAGCTGATGAGTGAATAAAAATAAAGATGTAGAGACAGAAATATAGACCACTCTCCTGAGAACTTGAGTCTAAAGAGGAAAAAATGAGTTTATATTTGGAGTTGAATAGGAAAGAGTTAAACATGGTTATGTAACAAAGGAATAGAAGTGGTTAAGTAGGAAATGATACAAGAAAATAATATTTTAAAAACTCCTAAAAGACAGGTATATTTACTGCCACTAGAAAAATAAATCTAAAATAAGGTCATTTAAAATATCTCTATGTTTGGGGAAAAGCATATGATAAGGGAAAATATTTTTCAAGGACAGGTCAGATAGGATTAATAAATTCTGCAGTAGAAATATACTCAAATATAACTAAACACACAAGCAAAAGTTGGCAGTGAAAATGAAACCTTAAATGAGTTAATCCACAGCACCAAAATACACTCTATTGTCTAGAATGAACTCTTACACATCATGAGGATGTACATAGTCATTATGGGCACAGGAAAATACAACCTGAAAAACATGGAGAATACCCAAAACAAACAAAAGTCACAATTTGTACAGGCTTGGTAAACTAAGCATTATTTTCAGCTGCACAAACACAGCTCCTTCTAAGGCTGGGAAATCTACAAAAGTTTTGAAATCCTATTTCTTGCTTTTGGAAAATATCACCAATAATTTAATGATTTATTTCATTGGGTCACTCTCATCCATTCAACAAGCCTGACAATTTATTGTGTACTAAGTAATATCCAATAGAACGTCACTGAGATAACACAGAAACTTTGGTGAAACGGAGAATGGAATTGTACTCTGAGAATGCTTATTCAGTTTACCTAGTGTCTTTTTTTCCCCTTGGTGCTGCGGATTAAGCCCAGAGCCTACACACTGAGTTAGATCACTGGCCCTTTTTAAAAATTTTAATTTTACAACAGGGTCTCACTAAGCCATTAAGTTGGCCAGGCTGGGCTGGAACTTGTGATCCTCCTGCCTCAGGCTCCCAGGGTGCTGGGATTATGGGCTTGTCCCACTACTCCTAGTTTAACTCTTAATATTATCTTTGTACTAAAAATATGGACTGAAACTTATCAAAAATCCCTTTGCCTGGTGGACTATACATATGGAGGATATGAGGTGTGATTAAAAGATACAGTAAAACAAATTATTATAGTGCACCATCATTAATCTCCCCTCAAGTCAAACACACTTGTCCAATCGTTCTGGGCACTTTCTGAAGCAGTTCTAGAAGTCCTCTTTTGTGATTGTATTTAGTTGTGTTGCTGTGGATACCTTAATTTCCTAAAGAGATTAAAACATTTGAATCCATAATGACCAATATCATGGTCATTTTGACAATGGGGAAGAGACAGAAATCGAATCTTACCAAATCTGATGAAGGAGGTAAATGACACTTGTAATTTTTTTTTTTTTTTTGGTACTGGGGAATCGAACTCGGGTCCTTGTGCTTGAGAGGCAGTCGGCTGAACCACTGAGCTAAATCCCCAGCCTGTTTGTAATGTTTTTATTGGCCTGCTTTCCACTGGATGGTACATAGAAGCAGCATCATTCACCATATTTTGATCACACATTCATGAAAGAGGGCTTCCAGAACTGTTTCATAAGATCCATATGTATATTCAAAATAACAAGTATTTTTTTTTGTTTTGTTTTTTGGGTACCTGAGATTTAGAAGTATTTTGCAGGAGATTAATGGCAATGTGTCTTTTACTGTAATAGGATTTTCAGTCTGGGGATTTAGCTCAGTGGTGCCGCCACCTGCCATGCAAGCACAAGGTTCTGAGTTCGATCCCTGGTACAAACAAAAAAAATTTTTTTAAATGTGAACATTCACTATAGTTTTGATGACCACTTGTATGAAGAAAATACACTAAAAGACACATTGGCTTTTACAATGAAAAAGATAATGACCTAAATGGTTAAAGCATTTCTTTGTAGAAAAGATTCAATATAAAGATGAAAAGTAAAGATTGCTTCCTCCTCCATTAAATTCAATTTTTAAATTTCAGACTATGGGGTAGGCATAAAATGGAAGTATCTATTTAATTGTGGAGGTATATACATATGTTTTAAAATTCCTATTGACTACATGTTTTTTACAATTTATCATTGCCAGCGCCTTTATTACTCACCCTTTCTATTGCTTGTCTATATTTTTAGGGTTAAGCAACTCATATACCTACTTGAGGTGGAAACTTCCAGATTTTCCTCACAAATAGGAGCCAAGCTTCCATCAAAGAGGAAGAGGAGAGTTTAATGTTCCTGTTTTAAGTTGTATTCATGATAGCTACTGCTGTATAGTATGATATAGAGACTATATATAGTCTGGTCCAGATTAAAAACTATGTATGGCTAAACACAAATTCTCCCGAAGGTGGAAAAACAAGTATGGGAGAAAACCATAAGGGGACAGGACACACAATTAGGCTTCACTTTAGCCCAAATGCCTGTTTGCTTTTCAGAATCCATATATTTCTTTTTTGTCCAGAGAAGGCCTATTCAAATGACTGAGCTAACAACGTCACACACAGCACGTTAGTATACAGTACCCTGGAGGTGTAAGAACTCAGCTTTGTTTTGCCCTTGTTCTTGAACAAAAGGTTCTCCTTTGCGAGCCTCCCAAATGTTCCTAGCCATTATGTAGAAATACATTAATTTTAAAACAAAATAAATTATGTACCTTTTGCAAAACAAAATTAATAGAAAAACCACATACAAAGCCACATATACACAATGAATTGCTGTTACCTTGTTCCTTCTTCTACCTGCCTCAGAGTTAAAGTCAACACCTGTGGCTACACAAGGGGCAGACTTGGTAGCCGCAGAACCCAGATGTCAGACACTGGATTGTGTGTCGCTGGCAGCAGTCCTAAATTGGATGCTGTCTTCTTAATGACCTCCAAAATGGCCTATTGTCTGATTCCCTTTCTGGTGTGGGTAGTAACAAGCTGTCTTTCCTGGCCAGTTCAGAGTCAGTCCAAGGTTCAGATGGCTCCAAGGCAGAAACATTAAGGCTGAAGACTGTGGTGAAGGAAACCCGTGGTAGCCAGGAAGCAGAACAAGGAAACAGCCAGGGGGTTGGGGGGACAGAAACCGGATATAGAGTGATACAGAGACTGCACATAGTCTGCTCCAGACTACAGTTATTGACACTGTTCAAGCAAATATTTATTTACCACAACTAGGTGCTTTACGTCATTTAACCTTGCTAGGCTTCAATTTTCTCTTGGGTAAAACAGAGCTGGCCAGTTGATTTCTAATGTTTCTTTCAGTTTTAAAAATAGTAACACTGATTTATATAGAGTATAAGATCATTTAAATAGACATTTTCATATTTTGTTAAAAACAGGCCATTAACACTGGTCCTTACTAAATTTTGTGATGGGGATCTATCTACAGATGTTCATGTCATTTCTCTCAAAGCCTTCTAGTCTGATTAATCCAGAAATAGCAATCTTACCATTTTCAAGGTTATTCCTTAAACATTTACACGTAAGAGAAAAGGCATACTTTTGCTCTGCACTAGTCAGAGTATACAGTTAGACCTTTGCCTCCTATAGAAACAGTAACTTGCATTCAGAATTGAATAATGTAAAGAAAACCATTTTATAGATTTAAAAATAATCAAAATATTCATTTATTTTAATTCATATTTATTTAAATTTAAATATAACAATTCTGTAGACAAATGAAACTACTTATAAATACACCTATAAAATGATAGCCATAAGTATAAATGAAATGTGTATTTTAGACAAAGTTTAACACATATTAGACAAATGGACTCTATGCTTACATTTAATTTTAAGAGTATATGGACATTTGGAAAAGACAGGCATTCATTCATTTAAAGTGCAACAAAATGTTCACATTTTGTCAGTAAGACATATTATTTCTCAGACTGATGTTTTTTGAAAACTATGTAAAGATATAATTTAATCATTAATCTCCCATGGTAACATTATTATAAGTGAAGGACATTTTTTAATAAAAATGTCCCTTTAACGTTAAATAACATAGCATTTTTACCAAGACCATACCATACTTATTAAACAAACACGCACAGCACTTTAAAATTTGAATAATTCATGTACCTTTATGCACAATGTTTAGTTTAGTTATGGAACTCCATTTTTACAAAAAAATAGACTGAAAAATTTGGCACAGAATAATAAATCGTATTGTTGCTAATCAAAAATAAATGTGACTTCAATTTTCCATAGCAGAGAAAATTCACAATTTACCTCTTCCTTTTACAGTTTATCAACCAGTGACAGTTCTGTTTTACTTCAAAAAAATAATAGACATCCAAGAACTGAAAGTCATATCCAGGTGCTCTGCCTCCATGCTAACTGAAAACGAATTCAGTTTAGAATTTATAACAGTAAAACATTTCTATCTATTGCAGCAACACATTTCTAAGTAAGAGTGCTATCAGCAATAGTGTGTATCATCATGAAATGTCAATTCAAGAAGCAGAGAGGTTGAACATGAAATATGACCCCTTCCCGACAGTGGGAACAGGTGTGGTAAGAAGAGCAAACACCAACTGAAGCAGAAGCAGGAAAGTCTCTGGGAAGCTAGTCCGAGAGCATTCAGAAGTCGGGAAAGGGCAGAAGACACAGGCGGAAACACAGCAACCACTGAGAGCTGGGGAGGAGGGCTGCAGGTCTCAGAAAATTCAAGTGTACACTCAGGAAACAGCTGCTGAGTGCTTACAGAATTTCTGTATTAGCAACCAACACTGCTGGTTAGGGGAAGTTTTAAATGTCCACATCACTCTGACTACATTGAGATTGAAGAAATTACGTTAACTCGAAACTTTTTTCTGAATTCATTCATACTCAGTGAGGAAGAAGAAAGAGAATAAAAGGAACTCCCACGTCCTGTGAGCCAGGGAAGAACCTTCACACACACCCTCAGCTTAGGCTGCAGTCTGCTAAGAAAATTTCCTTGGTTCTCTTTCACAGTGTTAGAGGTGAAGGGGCCAGCTGTAGCAACCTGTTCCTTTCATACATCCCTGATGGCTCAATTTTTACATTTATTATGTGGGAAGAAGGGAAGTTGAACTTAAATTCCATTTTTGTACACCTGTTTTATCCTAAAGAATAAAACAATGAGCATGGTATTATTTTGTTTACATTTTTGAGGGCCTTTGATAAAGAACATAATGCCAAACAGGTTTAATGAAATAGGCCAACCTTTTTTGCTTTTTAAAGCTGTTAATGTACAAACAGACACAAAAATTATGAATCACAAAGCACTGAGTTTTCCAGAGTGAAATCATACCAAAATCGCGATAAGTTTTCACTGACATCATAGGAGAGTAAGTGGTCAGGAAGGTCGCTGATGGTGCCCTGCACAGCCAGGATGTGCGGGGCCAAGGTGAAGGGCACATCGCTCAGGAGCTCGGCCATCAGTGAGCTGCTCTCCAGCGCCTGGCCTGCCTCAGGTTCCCTCGCAGGGCCTCCTGCTACAGTCACACTGGGTGAGTTTTCCTGGCTGGTCTAAAAATACATATATAGATTTAGAATATTTCAGTCTCATGAACTGTGAAGTTTAGAAATGGTGAATGTGGCACCAATACACCAAAATAACTGAGAAATATGGAATATATAAGTATTCCCAGATTTGAATGCAACTATTTACTTGAGAAATGTATCCATTCAAATATCTGCTAGGCTTTAATATGGATTCTGAAGTCTACTCTACTCAGATTGGCCACTCATAGCTCACTTGAATACAAGTTGGTATTCTATTTCCTTAACCCAGATAACATCTACAAAGCCAAGCTCTGCTTTTCTACCTCTTGTGGATGTTTTCAGGCTCTGAAATACCCAGCCTCCCTGTGAAGTCTTGTATTGCCACACTCCAGAGTGCTATTGCCCACTGTAGTATGCTCATGGAGTAAACTGCCTAGGAAAGTGTTCGGTGACCTCTGTATGTGTTCTTGCTAAGTGCTGGTCCATATGCTCAGTTCTTCTCTCCTGTTACACTCTGGGGTTCTTGAAGGCAAGCAATCCAGATGACATATCCTTATATTCCCACCTTGCAGTCTTTACTGCTTTATCCTAATATGTACTTGAAACTTTACCTCTGCTGTGTGCCATGAGTACAGTTCACTGACTTTTACTGAAAACATGTTATATCATAAACATTATTCAAATAATAGATATAACCTGTTCAACTTCTTTAAAATTAGTATTTCCTTAAAAAGATATACACTAGGATGGTCCCAGCATCCCTTACCATGTGTCTGAAACTGGAAGCTATCTAAATATTCATCAGTAGAAGAATGGACAATAAACTAAAAATCTATTTTCAGCAATGAAAATGAAGGACTTGTCTCTACAAACAGCTGAAATGTAACTCAAGCCAGTTTAAGGGGGAAACAATTCTCTCTCCTCCCCCTATCTCACACAGGAAAACTCTGCTCTTCACTCTGGCCTGTCAGGCCTTTCTGAGTCTATTCTCAGGTATGACTGACTTGTGCCCAGCGAGCCAAACCTCACTCATCCCTCTCCCACTGAAGGGCCTGTGGCCTCCTTGCCATGGCTACTGCACTCCCAGTTCTGTTTCCCGATGCTCTGCCCAGACATACATAGGTCTCCTTCCCACACCTCCTTCCAGTGATGCCACTTGCTCGGAGGCCTTTCCTGGATGCCTTTTGTAAAAGTGCCTCCTACCTCTTCACCTCCTCCATTCTGCACACCTCCGCCCTTCTCTCCTGCCTGCCCTCTGCCTCTCCAAAGCCCTTAGTGCCTTGTCCTATATTATGTCATACATTGTTTACTGTCCTTTAGGTGTTATACCTTTCATGTTCACTGCTAGATTTCCAGTGCCTAGAGATCAGAAAATATGAGTGAAGTGAATGAAAGCAGGAGATTTTTGTTTTCCTGGAGCTTATATTCTAATAGCTATAAGGGTTGACAACTTTTTCCTTGAAGTATAAAATATATACAGAAAAGAGTACATCACAAGTGTATAGCTTGTTAAATTTACATAAACTGAACACACATGAACAATCGATGAGGAAACAGTGAAGACGGTGCTTTTTTCCACTCACAATCAATTCCCTGCTCCCTCAATTACCATCCTGAGTTCTAACAGCACAGATGGGTTTGATCTGTTTTTGAATCTTAAATGAGTACAATCACACAATATGAGTACTTTTGGTTTGGGCTTTTCAGTCAATATTATGTATGTGAGATTTATCTACATTGTTACACATTGGATTAAAAAAGACTTGAGAACACACTGTTGGTGAGGCCACATACTTTGATGTCTTAAAAGAATCATTCTGGTCACTGCATGGAGGGCAGGCAGACAGTGGAGGGTGGATGGCCAGTACAGAAAGCAGGAGGGCAGCAGGGAACACAGGTGTTTGTGAGGTTAATGAGGGTTGTGACAGCAAAGGTGATGAAATGGCAGACCATGAACAGAACTGGATTTTCTGTTGGGATGGACGGTGGGTATGAGACCAGAGCACAGTCAAGGAAGAAGCCAAGTTTCTGGTCTGAGCAACGAGAGGCATGGAGCCCCTGTTCAGAGGCATGGAAAAAAGTGCCTGACAGAAGTGGAAGCAAACATCGGAATCATTTTTTTCTAGATGTTATGCTGGAAATGGGAAAAGAGATATGCTGAGAAGGGAAGTGGAGTCAAAACTTTGTTTTTTAATTTTTGTTTTTAAACTGGGAGAAATAGTAGCAAAATATAATTTAATGAGAAGAAGCTCATATGAGTGAATTCATGGGGAATCTGTAAAGGAGGAACTATTCTGTTCACAAAACATCCGCAACACCTACACTGGGACCCTCAAGATTTATTTTGTGAATGACTTTGTATTAATAAAGTTACTGTGTACATCTATTAAGAGCGGTCTTACAGTTTCATGTGAAAATAACACCAGAGTACTTTTCTTAACACTGAAACTAAAAGAAATGAAATCATATCCTGCAATAAACAAGCTTATTCTAAAGATCTGTGTGGGCAGCGGACAGATCCTGCCTCCTGAAATTGAACTAGGAATGATGATGCTAAGTATCCCAGGGTCAGCCAAGAGCTCAGGTGTCAGTGAGAACTGATAACTATTCCATACTATTTACAGGGCTTTGTTATACAGGGTGGGGGAGAAAAACTGAACAAGAAGCAACATTTGAGTGCACCATAAAAATACCTCAAGACATACACACTGGGGTTTCGGTTACCCATGAGGAGTATGGCAGAGTAGTTAAGACCAACAATTCTAGAAGTAGATCGCTTGGGTGCAAATCCCAGGTCTCCTGCTTACTAATAAGCAAATGGCCTGCCTTGAGTTAATTTCTCTGTGCTTCAGTTTCTCTAGCTGTATTACAAGGTCAATTAAAAACTGGGACCGTCAGACCCTGCCTAGCTTTGCAGAAAATCTAGAACCCATTCCCCACTTTTGTACTGAGATTCATTGGTGGTTCAGAAAATCTTCCTTTTCCCTTTCTTTTTATTTTTTGCCTTCTCTCTTAACCTTAGGAGTTAATCTTCCCTTAGATACCTTAGTCTTGTTCCAACTGTGAACTTTCTTCTCTTTTCTGCTTGTGCACAGAATGTTATCCAGTTTCATTAGCCAAATTATCCTTTTCCTTCACAAAAGTATGCTTGAAATCTCATCCTCTCCACAAAAACAGGAGGTGTATTACTGGTAACACTTTGCTTTCCAAACAAGGAACTTCTAAGGCTCTCCAGAAGCAATATTTACTCCTTTGTTCATGCTTTTATTAACTCTCCTTCCCTTCCTTACAAATTGCTTTTACCTATCAGAGCACTTCTCATTGAGGACAAGACTGTATTAAACCATAGCCAATGTAAAAAGGGATTTGAGACATGGTTTCTTATTCAAGTTCTCTTGATAAAGTTGTCATCTGACCTGAATACGGCTGCTTCACTCTAAGAGAACTTAACTCTCTACTCCGTACAATGAGTGGTGAGGGACAAAAGATGACAATGAAGAGAACAACTAGCACAGACTGAAAACTTAGCTGCTCGAATGTATTCACGTAAGCAAGTCTTACAACACCTTTTGGGATGTGCCCCATGTTAAAAACAAGAGGCACATGAAGGTTCGGGAAGCTGTCCTGGGCTTCACAGCTAGTCAGTGATAGAAATGAGAATTAAATACAATGATTTGTAACACTTTCAAGAGCTTGCATACTTCAGACATACTTTGGATAGACTGACTAAGCCCTGAAGATTTATGGGACAATATTAGAAAATAGGATAATTAGTAAAGTAGCATGCCTTGGCTTAATCTATAAGGAACAAGGACTATTACCCTTTACCTTTAAAAAATAAAGATCTGAAAAAATATCTTACAGACTGAAAAGGGATTAAAAAAAACAACTGAAATTTAAGATAAATCTATCTCTGGAAATGAATCTATCAGTATTCTGGATAAGCCATGGGAAAAATACTATCGGCAATAAAACAAGATAACTGAGTCGATAACCACTGAGGCAAAGAGGAAAGTATGTGGAGATTCTCTACAGTATTCTACCACTGCATAAGTTTGAAACATTTTAATTAATAGAAGTTTTAAAAAATATATTTAGTTTAAAAATACCATAGACAAAGTGTTCTATCAAATTCTTCTTCCTAGAGTGATCTGAATTTCAGCTGCACGGTGTGTATTGCTCCAGCATCTATCTCTTAACATCTGGCTGGAGCGCCACGTCCCAGTCTCTACAGAGGCTGCCCACCCTGTTGGCAGTGTGGTGAGTGCCATGATGCAGCTGCTGCTGGCATGCTGGGAGCTGGAGGGGAGAGATTATAAGGCAAAACAAGAGCAAGCCACAAAGAAAATGTGAGTCAAAATTCAAGGTCCCACACCCCTAACCTTGATCATTAAGTCCTCCAGCGAGGCAGCAGTGGAGGCAGAGGTGGGGGCTGAAGGCTAAAACAGGTGCACAAGTTCCTGGGCAAAAAGCAGCCCTCTCTCTCAGACACAATGTCTTGTGATTTTTTTTCATTTGCATAATAAAATGGGTCTTTAACAGGAAGAATTAGTATGTTAACTACAATGGAGCAAGATGAAAAGAATCAATTAACCTTCTGGTTAATAGCCAAATTTTAGAAAATTACTTCAAATATTACATGCATAAAGTACAATCATTATTTTTGTGATTAGTCCTGTTCACAGAACTGCTGCTATGATAATGGTTCTAAGTTCCTTCGTATAATCTAGCTTTCATATTTCCTTTTCAACTTAGCATTTGCCCTTACATGGTTTCCAAATGAGTATATCATATGAGAAAGTTTTTAATCTTAAGGAGAAAAATAAATTCTTTATATTATCACAAGAAATAAAGTTTACAATGAGCTGTTTTCATATATTTATGTAAATATGTATTTTTTTGTTCATCAGTTATTCTGCTAAAAAAATGAACTGGCCAAATTTCTTCTGGGTTCCCAATAGTTTCTTTCTTTCAAATAATTCAAAGAGGTTTATAGTTAATATTCCTCATTTTCTTGTAAAAGA